AATCAATATTTATTAAATCGATCTTCTCGATTTTTATTTTAAACTGCAAAAATATATGAACTGTGAAAAATTATAAATGATGCCACAACACAATAACTTTATTTATGTTTTCAATTTATTTAAAAACATTTTGTTTATTTGCTCATAATACTTTTGATTATTATCGATTATTTACTGCTATTATTTATTAATTTCAAAGGTTACTTTAACATTATAGTTGGAATACGTGGTGCTCCTGAATATTTATTTATCAGAAGCTTATAATTATTTGATTGCTTCGTAAATTAAAATGCACCTTCATTTTTGAGAATGATCTGTATTTAAAGGTTCAGTGAATGCATCTTTACATTGAGTGTTATATTAATTTATACAATGGTCGCTCGATAAGTACTCGAGCTTGGGGCTGCAGGACCAGGCGCATCAGTTAGAAATCAATACGTCACGTGTTCGTTCCCCCCTCCAGTCGTTTTTCGCTTTTTCACGTCAACTAATACAGTACAGTTAGTTCATTTCACAAGGTTAAGCAAATTCTATGTTCACATAAATGTTTCAAATAACAAATAATAAGTTAATTTATTGTTCATGTCATTTATTGTAAGAAAGTGTTCCTGTCTCATTTCAAATATAAAGACAAAATTTCCCTACACTCAAAATTTGTATTATTCAAAAACATAAATTTTTACTAAATTTTTCACTTAAACCCTTCGAAGATTTTTATCGAATAATTGAATTGAAAGCTCTACGTACAAAAAAATGATCCTTTTGATTAAACAAAAGGTCCGTACAAATAAAAATTTATTTGTTCGATTAAGTAAAATGTTTTTCGAATAGAAAATTGTTTTCTCTCGATCTAATAAATAATCATTTTCTTGAATCATAGTTTCGATTAAATGAAACATTGTGTTCCTGATTGGATGAAAAGTTATATTTACAATAGAATGAAAAATTATCATTAATTGAATAAAAATTTTTTTGAATAAAAATTAACATTCTGGATTGATTAAAAACAATTGCCTAATCTTCATATTCGGCGAGAAATGAACGCGATCTTTCGTGAAATTAGTAAATTGCAAAAAAAAAGTGAGTTATTTGTAATTTGATAATTGAAAGGAACACTAGTGTGAAAAAAGAAAATACATTTATTCAATGGTATTAAATATTATTTTTGATAAAAATGTTCTGTCCATTCTCAGTACTATAGTATTGTGGTAAAAACTGGCAATGTCATGTAAGGGGCTTGTACTTATCGGGCAGCCATTGAATTGGCGCAACTTTCGCTTAAATTGCATTTGACCAAGAACGCGCTACATTTCTAGTGTACCACATCGGTTCTCTAATTATTTACGATTCTTATCTCTTGATTTCTTTCGCGCTTCCAGTTTGAAGTGATCAATGAATATAATTTATCTGCGATTAAATTTTATTATTTTCGATTTACGATTTAGTTCCTTATGCTTCTTAGAATGCTCTCTAGAGTCGCAACAACTACCTCTTGTTGTGGAGGAATTAAGAAAGTAATACATACTACTTGTGTATGTTTGTTCTTATATCCATTTCACACCCGTCGCTAATTTTCAGAGTCTGATAAAAAGATACCTTAAGTCGTGCACATTTTAGATACATTTTGAGGAAAATATTATTGGAAAAAAATAAAAAATCGGATCGAAAAAATGAAAAGAAAATTGAAGTCAGCGTTAGTAACATTGTGCACTATATTGAACACTTTTTTGAGTTTGCAGCATTGAGTAGACGATTTCGATAAATTTTTGTGATTTGAAACTATGCATTTTTCAAAATTTTTATTTGTAATTTTCGAGCAAAATCAATTTCAAAGGAAGATGGAAGCTTTTAATTTTGAAAACGTTTTATGATTTAACTGTAATAGTTAGACAGTTTTTTAAACTTTTATGCTAGTACTCTATAAATTTTCATGAACGAGATAATATATTGTAACATTACCCGGCGATAGGAAACTTGTTTATACAATTGTTAAAGTGAAAAAGGTAACAAAGCTGCGATATATTGACAATATCTGCTAATTTTTGGATAATGGAAAAGTCAAAATTGAGCTTGGTGTAAGCGATTTCGTAAATCCATGTAACATCTATTGAATTAGTACAAGTAGAGGCTAAACTTCACTTTAGGGGACCAAAAATATTCGACTTCCTTTTTCATATAATTGCGTAGATCTTAACGAGAAAACTCCATTTTTTAGTTTTGAAGTTAGCGATCCATTGGTTTGAAAGTTCTGCGTGTGTAAATTTGAGGGAATTCAAACGTTTTTGATCAGATGCCAGAAATAACTGTTATGTCAAAAATTTTATAGAAAAAAATCATCCATAGGAAAATTTATTTTTATTCACATAGAGAGCAGTCATCGTTAAATTTTATAAAAAATTTAAAAAAATGCGTTGATTAGAAAATAACTCATTGGACGATCTACGTTACTGACTGTGCAATGAGTACCAATATGGCGGCGCCCTTCCCTGTCAGAAACGCTTAAAATCCCTCAAATTTGCACACGTAGAATTTTTGAACCAACGAATAACTAACCTTAGAACTTACATTTTTTGAGTTCTCTTGACAAAATCTACCCTACACAAAAAAAAGTCAAAATTTTTTAGTTCCCTAAAGTGAAGTTAGCCTAAATAAAATATATTCTAGACCTATTTTGAGAACTTTTAACAATCATTTTTCACACTCTCAACTGGCAATACAAAGTCTGCGTTTTTTCTTCAAATGGAAAGCCAAAAATCATTGTACATTGTTACTAATGTCGATTTTGATTTACTTTCTCAATTTTCGTAAACAAGAAATTACTGTTCACATACGTCGTCAAAATATTCGCTGTTTCCCGTGAATTTTGAAGAGTCTATCAAAAAGATCTATACAGGGTATCCGATTTGAATCTATAAATGAAAATAACTCGTTAATCACACGCTATATGAAAAACTGTTTCTAATACAAATTTAAGGGTTTCGAGGGGGCTACAAGATGACGTAATTAATTTTCCTATAAGTGGACGCGTACAGGGCAAATGAAGGTCAACTTTGTTTTTCAAACGGAATTATAGGATTTTCTGTGCACTTTTCGGTTCGGTCTATCATTCCGAATAAAAAAATATTAGACCTGGCGTGTCAAAAAATTATTAATTTACTAGATACTGCAAATATTGCAAAGTGATAGTCGTGTAAATATTGACTGCTTTAATGTGACACTGACTTTGTCGAATAATTTTGTTTACAACCTTGCAATATTTGTACTTAACTATCCTGTAAACTAATACATTTTTGACATACGCATCCACGTAGAGAAAAATGAATCATGTCATCTTATAGCCCTCTCGAAGCCATTTAATTTCTGTCGGAAGCATTTTTTTATATAGCTTGTGATTAACGAGTTATTTTCATTTAGAGATTAAAATCGGACACCCTGTATAAGGGACGCTAATATTTCTTCTTTAATCACTATCTGTCTAAATAATTATGCGCATTCGCTATAGGACGCAATGCCTGTGAAATTCGATAAACATTCGAATTCTGAACGAAATTTGTAATTACGCAATGTAATCGTTATTCAAAAAAATTAAATAGTAAACAACGAAACTAGCAAATTCGTTTCTAAGGGAACGTTCAGTCCCCTGTTTCGATGACATTTGTCGGCACACTGGTCGCTAATCTCAGAACGATTCAATATTCTGCTATATCCGTATCTCTAACATCTGCTGCCAAAAAGGGAACAATAGAGAAAGTAGTCGAAAGAAAATGAAAAATCTCGCGCGCTTTCTCGCGCGTCTTTTTTTATCATTTTTTCTTCGCGCGCGCGCGACGCTCTTTCCGAGAGACTCCGTCCGATTCTTGTCTTCTTATTTTTTTTTTTTACTTACATGTGTAAATACAATCAGTGTTCCTTGTGTTGGACGATTATAAAATGTACCTAATATATTTCAGTTGATTTGTGTAAAGAAGATGGTATGTAAAGGCTTAGATTTATTTCAATTTTTACTCTTTTGCATGTTTATTTATTTCGAACTACCACGTTTTCTTTTACACGTACGCGAGAACGATCCCGCGACAGACGCCGACACGCGATCGATATCTCTCTGATTCTTATTGGTTACACGGACAGACCGGTCTGTTTCACAAGTTTTGCTGTGTGTACTGAGAAATTCATTGACTTGTGAAATATTAATTGTCGAAGTTGATGAGGAATGAAATTGACGGTCACGTTAACTTTCAATCGTTGATATTTCCGATTCACTTCAAATAAACAAGCTTCGCTTGCGGTCATTTTCAAGCTATAAGAAGGCTTGTAGTCATTTTCAGGCAATGCTCTTTCAATCTATCTAATTTTTAGTTATTTCAAACGTGTGCGCTAATTTACGACGCCAAATGTAAAGATTGTCATTTTCTGATGATCGCGTTATGTGTTGTGATCATCGACATTTTCGTTCTTCTTTGGTCAAATGACTTTCATTTGCAGTCATTTTAAAGTTAAAAGAATACTCATTCCGCGTAAATAACAGATATTTTAGTTATTGCAAACGTGTCTGCTAATTTAATAAGTTGAACATAAGGATGTCAGTTTTAGAAAATCGTCGCAGGTCGGCAGACACTTTCAGCATAAATAGTTTCGTTCCTCTTTGGTCAAATAACTTTTACCTGATGTCATTTTCAAGATAGAAGAAAGCTCTTTCCATATATATTACGGAATTCTTAATTATGGCAAACACATGTGTCGATTTATTAAGTTAAACGTGGAGATTACTAATTTTAGATAATCGCACGAAGGAGGCTGATACGTAATTCTTTGATCATCGATATTTTCGTTTCACTTTGGCCAAATGATTTTTATTTGCAGTCATTTTCAAGCTGGAAGATGTCTCCTTCTATGGGTCTCATGGACTCCTTAGTTATTACAAACGTGTGTACTGATTTGTAAAACTCAAATTAAAGATTTTCAGTTTTAGATAATCAGATGAAGTAGATAAACACTCGCTGTCCTTATATCTTCGATATTTTTATTTTACTTTAATCAAATGTCTTCTATTTAGAGTAATTTTCAAGCTAAAAGAATGCACTTTCATCGTGGTGAGAGATATTTTAAATATTTTAAATGTACACAATAATATCTAACGGTGAACTTGTCATTGTACGGAAGTTATAAGTAATCTAACAGAATGCTTAAATTGTTTTCGTATGTTTACTATGTTATTCAGTAAGTACTTAAAATCCAAAGTCTGTTTATAATAATCTAAAATTATTTATAATAATTTAATTAGATTTTCACCTTTGAAATAATTGTGAACAGAAATTATTTCGCCAATGTGACAAAGAAATATCAACAATAAAAGAATAGGTTGTACACTTACTATATGCGATTTTCTAAAACTATGATAATAAAAACTTTGGGTTTTTCTTAGGATATTATCGAATACGTCCACAGACCACATTGAAAATGTCGTAGCACATGTTCAAAGTGCATTCTTTTCTCTTCAAAATGGTCATCAACAAATGTTATTTAATCAAAATAATTCAGAAGTGCCGGCAATTAAAGAATAGCTTGTCTGCGCACCTTGTGCCATTCTCCAGAACTTTGATGATTATAATCCTGCGTTTGGCTTACGATATCATTGTATACGATTATAATATTTCAGAAAATTTATAATGTATTTGAAATGAGCATTCTTAGAGCTTCAAAATGACTATAAACAAAAACTATTCAGTCCAAGTGGCGAGGAAATATCGACAATTTAAGAATACCTTGTCTGCCTACTTCATGCAATTTTTTAAAACTTTGACAATTAATATTGTACTTCTATCTTGCGATATTATTACATACACTTGCAATCTCTGACAGTTTCATGACATATGTGTAAAGAACAATCCTTGAGCTTCAAATTGGCTATAAAGAAAAATTATATAGTTCAAATAATACAAACATATCGACAATTGAAGAATAGTTTGCGTGCGTACTTCGTGCGATTTTCTAAAACTTCGATAATCAATTTTGCATTTATTTTACGATATTATCGTACAGGATTATAATCAACGGAAGTTTCTTAACATATTTTTAAAAGGCATTTTTCGAGCTTCAAAACAACTAGATATAAAAATAATTTGTGGTTAAAGTGGCAAGGAAATATCGACAATTTAATACGACTTAATGCCACTTAATGCGATTTTCTAAAACTGTAACAATTAAAATTGTAAGTTTACCTTACGCGATTCTGTCGTACCAGTATATAATCATCGGAACTTCCCCGACATAAATTAAAAGAGCATTCCTTCAGCTTAAAAATGATTATAAGCAACCATTGTTTCGTCCGAATAAAACGATCCCGATTTTGAAATTTTGACAATTAATATCTTGCAAACAATTTTATCTAGGCGGTTGAAATATTGCACACCTTCTCAGGACACCCAACAAACACTGGAACTTGGAAAAAAGATCGATAACGATCTCCCGAATTCTGTAGAACTCGTTTCGCCGACGACAAACTCTCAACCGAATCGATTCTCGGAGACGGACAGTGACACGTCGCGTGGACAGATAGTGCGCCAAACGCTTCTTAGCATCGGGCTGAATACCGTTTTTCCGTTGATTTGCTCGTGGCCAATGATTTCTGAATGATTTCCGCGCGTCCGAACTGCAGCGCGACTCACACGGTGATAATCGAACTGCTTGTGACTCTCACGTTTCGATTACTGTTGTTTAGAGTGCACCGTTCAGCTTCGTGTCGTCGTTCTTGACTCAATGGGATTAGAGGTCTTTGTTATGCCATGTGACGTCACCTTTTTGACAATTATTTGTCTTGCATGCGCTTCGGTTATGTGTCGTGTCTCTGTGTACGCAAGATCAGCTTGTGCATGCAAGGTGTTCGAGAAATCGAGGACCTCGACTCTAAATTCGAATCTCAGCTTTCGGTGGGAAACAGAAGCAAATGAGGAGTTGATTAGAATTTTTCTAGACTAACTGTATAACATTATATTGTAACATAATTATTGTACGTATATTATCTTGCAATTATTATATATATTACATAAATTGCATTGTAATTATGATATTGCATAACACATATATCATATTGTAATTATTATGTAATATACCCATTATAT